TCCAGTGATGGATATGTGACTGCTAGGATTTCTTGTTTGGGGAAGAGGTAAGCATATCACGTCTACGTAAGACAGCTGCATCTCACCTAATGGAAAATGGCTGCACAGAAGCTCACACATGTGTAGCAGGTGCATCGATGGTGCCAGTGATGTGGTTCTTTTCTCTCAACTCTCACCTGCCCTCAGTATTCCCACTTCTGCTTTGCCAGAAGGCTCTGTGTCAGGTCTGCCATCAAAGGATGCTGGAGAGAGACTGCGGAGTGAAGAGGAGGAGGCTCTGACTCACTCCTTCCTGTCTGCTTCTCATTTCTCTCGGCTGGATTCCAGCAATGCTTCATCACCTCGACAGTGGCAGGTCCTCCTCACAGCCGCAGCTGAACTGAGTAAGTAGCTTTTCTAACACACACAAACACACTGTGCCAGCCCCAGCCATCACTCTCCCGTACCCTTTCTCTAAACCTAAAAATACCACCAACAGCCAGCAGGTGGCTCCTCTTCAGAAGTCTGACTCAATCACATGGAGACCCTTCCCTAAGATTTTAAGCTTCAATTATTCAAGTGTGTATCTTTTGTTCCCGCAGCCCTGGGGAAACTGCAATTGTTACTTTCGTGATACCTTAGAGGAGTAGTTCTTAAGCTGTGGTTCCAGGATCAGCACCATTAGTATCTCTTGGGAACTTGTTAGAAATGGAAGTTAATAGAATGAAGAAAAAAAAAACCACACATAATCAACTGTCTCAACTGCAGGAAAGAAAAGAAAAAGGCATTTGACAAAATCCAAAACTCTTGCATGATTAAAAAAAAACCACTCAATTAACTAGGAATAGAGGGGAACTTCTCACAACGTGATAAACGGCATCTATAAAAAAACCTACAATTAATACACTCATCGATGAAAAACCGAAAGCTTTCTCCCTAAGACCAGAACAAGAAAAGGATGGCTGCTTTTGTCACTGCTATACAACAATGTACTGGAAGTTCTAGTCAAAAACTTAAGCAAGAAAAATAAATAAAAGACATCCAAACTGAAATGGAAGAAGTAAAATGATCTCTATTTGCAGATGACATGATCTAATATATAGAAAGTCCTAAAGGATACACACACACACACACACACACACACACACACACACACACACACAAGAAACTACTGAACTGATAATTTCAACAATGTCATAGCTTATAAGATGAACAAATAAAAATCAGTTGTAGTTCTATATACTAGCAATGAATAATCTGAAAATGAAACCAAGAAAATAATTCAATTTACAATGTCATAAAAAAAAAGAAAAATACTAAGGAATAAATGTAAGCTAGGAGTAACAAGATTTGCACACTAAAAATTGCAAATCATTACTGAAAAAAAATTAAAGGCATAAAGAAATGGAAAGAGTCCAGGCTCAGGGGCTCATGCCTATAATCCCAGCACTTCAGGAGGCAAGGTGAGAGGATTGCCTGAGCCCACAGGTTTGAGACCAGCCTGGGCAACTTGGTGAGACCTCATCTCTATAATAAATCAAACAATTAGCTGGGCTTGGTGGCACATGCCTGTAGTTCCAACTACTTGGAAGGCTGAGGCAGAAGGATCGCCTGAGCCCAGCAGGTTGAGGCTATGGTGGCCATGAACATGCCACTGCACTCCAGCCTGGGCAACAGAGTAAGACTCTGCAAAAGAAAAGAAAAGAAATAGAAAGATATCTCATATTCATGGGTAGGAAGACTTAATACTCTTAAGATGACCACAATACCCAAAGCAATCTAAAGATTCAATACAATCCCTGTCAAAATCCCAGCTACTGGCTAGATGCAGCGAATCACACACACCTATAATCCCAGCACTTTAGGAAGCCAAAGTGGGAGGATCGCTTGGGGCGAGGAGCTTGAGACCAGCCTGAGCAAACACAGTGAGAGCCCCTCTCAACCCGGAGTCCTTGCTACTCAAAAGGTTGAAGCAGGAGGATCACATGAGCCCAGCAGTCCCAAGTTACAGTGAGTTATAACTGTGCCACTGCACTTCAGCCTGGGCAACAGAGTGAGACCTTGTCTCTTAAAAAAAAATCCCAATGTCTACTTTTTTTGGGGTACTCATAAACGAATGGGAAAGCCGAAACTAAAATTCATATGGAATCACAAGGGATACCAAATAGCCAAAACAATACTGGAAAAGAAAACACAGTTGGAAGACTCCTATTTCCCGGTTTCAAAACATACTATATAAAGTATAGTAATCAAAGTCATGTGGTGCTGGCATAAGGAAAGACATCCAGACCAACGGAATGGAATTAAAAGCCCAGAAACAAAGCCATATGCTTATGGTCATCTGTTTTTGACAAGGTGTTAAGACCATTCAATGCGTAAAGAATAATCTCTTCAACAAGTACACACATGCAAAAGAATGAAGCTGTATCCCTACCTGACACCATGTACAAAAATTAATTCAAGATGAGTCAAAGACCTATATGTAAGAGCTAAAACTATAAAACTATTAGAAGAAAACATAGGGGTGAATCTTCATAACCTTAGATTTAGTAATGCATTCTTAGGCATGACACCAAAAGCACAAGAAACAAAAGAAAAAATTGACAAACTGGATTTCATCAAAATTTAAAACTTTTGTGCACCAAAGGATACTATCAAGAAAGTGAGCAGACAACCCAATGAAAGAACATATTTGCAAATCATATACCTGATAAGACTCTAATATACAGAATATGTGAACAACTGTTCACAATGCAACAGAAAGACAAACATGCAAATTCAAAATGGGCAAAGGACTCGAATAGATTTCTCCAAAGAAAATATACAAATGGCAAACAAGCACATGAAAAGATGCTCAACATGATTAATCATTACAGAAATGCAAATCAAAACCACAATAAGAGATCATTTCAAACCCACAAGAATGGCAGTAAACAAAACAGGAAAAAATAAGTACTGGCAAGGATGTGGATAAACTGGCACCCTCCTACATTGCTGATGGGAATTGAAACCTGCAGCAAATGTGGAAAAGAGTTTGGTGGTTCCTAAACAGTTGATCACAGAGTTACCACATAACCCAGGAATCCTACTCCCAGGAATATACCTAGGATGAATTCAAAACATATGTTCACACAAAAACCTATATATAAATGTTCACAGCAGCAGTATTCACAATAGCCAAAAAGGGGAGAAAAACTCAAATGTCCATCATACAGTGGAATATTATTCAGCCTTAAATAGGAATAAAATCTTGAAAATGCCACAACATGGATGAACCTTTAAAATATGTTATGTAAGGAAACCAGACAAAAAAAGGTCATAGATTATGAGTCCATTCATATGAAATTATCAAAACAGACAAATTGTTCGAGACAGAAAGTAGATTACTGGTTGTCAGAGGACGGGAAAAGGAAGACTGAAAGTGAGGTGGGGTGATGGAAATTTTCAGCAACTACATAGTGCTCATGGTTGTATAACCTTGGGAATATATTAAGAACCACTGAATAGTACACTTTAGAATGGTTAAAATGGTAAATTTTATCAAACTTTTAAAAATCTATTAATTTAAAAAGTCATCAAATGACATTTGTCATGCTGGACTATTTGTTAAAATGGGCAAAGTAACTGCAATTGTGATAAGTAGTGGCAAAAAAGATGCCAAGAAAGCATTTTTTAAAATTGTGGTAAAATATACGTATCATAAAATTTACCATTTTAATTCATTATTAAGGGTACAGTTCAGTGACATTAAGTATATTCATACTATCACCATCACCATTCTAAAACTTTTCTCATCTTGCAAAATGAAACTGTAACTATTTAAAGTTGAATAGTCCATTGTGTGTGTGTGTGTGTGTGTGTGTGTGTGTGTGTGTGTGTGTGTGTGTGTGTGTACACAGAGGGAGCCAAAAAACAGTATATACATTTTAAGAAAGGATAAAACTGTATTAAAATTGTTATACTCAACATATACTGATAACAAAAGATGAATACAAGTTTGACTTCTGCAGTTTTAAGAGGTGTTCAAAGTGGTTACTATCAGAGCCCAGACACTCCTGATTATGGCGAACTATCAGGACTTGTTGCTGTGTGAGGCCTCTTGGATCTTCCCTTGTGCGCATCACACATGGTACCATGTGTCTGAAACGTATCACAAATGCGTGCAATTGTTAGGTATGTTGAAAGTTCTGTTGTATACTCACACCTCCATTGTCGTACTTCCACAGCATTCCTGAATTTCAGATAACACTTCAAAGTGGTCTCCTGCTCTTTGAACAACTGTGCTTCCATCATTTTCTTTGACTGTCCTGCCTGTTGCATGGTAAGGCTAGCATCTGTTTGAGTAACTCCATCTTTTGAGCAAACGTCAAACTACATACATTGCTACCATAATTCAATTTAACTTCAAAAATTAATATATAGATAATCTCTTTAAATGTGTATACTTTTTTTGGCCACCCCAGTATACACACACACCCCCATATTCTGTTTACCCATTCATCAATGGGTACTTCGGTTTTTTCCATCTCTTGGCTGTTATGAATAATGCTTATATGAGTATGGGTGCACAAATATCTGCTCGGTCCCTGCTTTATAAAAATGAAAATACACATTCAGTAGAAACCACACTTCAAATTGTGATATGAGTTTTCCGCTAGTCGATCGGTAAGATTCTTGTGAGGCTGGACAATGACAAATGAGCTGCAGCTACCAGTCAGTCATGAAATCAGGAAGATAAACAACGAGCACCGTACAGTGCTTGATGCTGAAGGTGCTGAAGTTCTAAAGGGATACTCCATGCATTTTCAGCTTGCAATATTTTCAGGAGGTAACCCCACTGTGAGTCAAGGAGCCTCTGTAGTTATGAAGTTTTTGAAGGGAGATTTTGAAGGAAGTTTGTTAAAAATAATTTTAAAAAAATACATACATCTCTTGCATTGGCTGAGGGATTAACAACTCAGTACAGCTGAAGGTCACCCAAGAGCAATAACACCATTTGCTTTAAAAAAACACAAAACACATAAAAGTATCCATTGCAAATTTATTATGCATTAGGAAGCTTAACCTAAAAACCAACAGCATAGTAAAAAGATATGTTATCTCTGTTCACAGCAGAACAGGTTTCAAAATATATTTTCTTTTAAATGTATTCAGTCAGTACACAATCCTTTATAAAAGTTGTATATATTTTTTCTGTCAATACCTTCATTACATTTATAAATACAAGATTTACACAGCACCCCATCAAAAAAATTAAAACCCCTTACAAATATCTACATATATTTCATACCTATAAAACGTTCAAAGGAGTGCTCTGTTAAAGGTAGGCCCTAGTTAATGGTCCATTTACTGGTGCAGCAAAATACATATAAATCTGTAAAGTTCTTTGTCCATAAAACATCTCAAAAAATTAGCAAGACACTTATTGTGAAACTGAGCTTCACAAAACCATAATATTTTAGAAAGGAATTTGATGTGTGTATTCCCATGAGACTCAGATAAACAGACTGAAATAAAGATGAACTGAAAATAAATGCATACTACAGAGCAGTTAAGGCAGGAGTGTGATGGATGGAAAAAATTGTTTGAATAGGACATGGGAGATACAGGAAGGAGCAAATAGAAATAATGTATTATGAGTCTGAACTTGGATATAAATTCCACTGGTATCCAGTTACTAACACTCATCCTCACTTAGGAGTTTTCAAATTATTAAAGATTCTCTTAGAAGCACCTTCCAATTTCTGTGTTGCCACCAGAATGCTTGAGGTGTTTTTGTCTCCTGTAAAATCACCTTGGATCCAACCAGGACACTAGTCCTGTGTTACAAGTTCTACAAGATTTAAACTTATAGGAAAAACTTCCTTCATCTAGTAAAGGTAATCACTGTTCAACATTATTAATTTCTAAAGATGTAGATATGTTGAATTTTATTCTAGCCAAGAATAGGAAGTAGAAGAAAATAAAAGGAAAGAGTAAAACTAGGTTTTCATTTGGCCTTTGAACAAAGGCAATCATAGATCCCTGATACTGAGTGACTCTTAAGCCTGGCCACTCGTCAACACCTAAGAGCTAATTCAGAGAAACAGGAAGGAAGAAAATGAGAAGAGATTCTTTACCTGAAATCTTGCTACTATAATACCGTACCTTTTGCTGAAAAGGGCATGAAAAGATTGCTGTCACTCTTACTCCAGAGTTATTACAGGAAAGTCATTCTTTCTACCAGAGATATGATTTTTTTCTATTTGAGTGTCACCTTGAGAGTCGCACATTATTTTTAGGAAAGTATTCCAACTCTTACCTTATTCTAATGTGCAAACAGGATGAAAAAGAATGGAAGAAAAAACCAGGAGGAGGAAGGGCTGAAGGATGAAGGTGAATTTATCAGACTGGGCCCTGAAGGATGCTGCTGGCATCTCCCATCCAGCACCATGAGGTTTCCACGTAGTGTGGCGCCCTCCGCTGCTCTCAGAGACGGCGTCTGCAGAATCTCCTTTCTGCTGAGTTTACAGTTCAGTGCATTGATTCCCAGGCTCCTCGAATGAAGAGAGCTCCCAAATGCTGCTGTCTTGCAACAGCGGCTCGATGTCCTCATCACTGAGCCGTTCTGGAGGGTTGGGCAGGTTGCCACTGCCGCTGTTGCTGTGTTTTTGAACTCCACTGGCTTTACTGTATTCGGGGATGAATAAGGCAACCAGAAAAGACATGAGAACTATACATGCCCCAAATAAAAACGGTGGGCCTGGGATGACGGCTCCCTGACGGATGTAAAAAATAAGTGGAGACAAAAGAATCTGATTAGTCTTCTTAACTCAGAATTAACACAGAAAGACCGCCCCAAACACATCACCAAAAAGTGAATTATTTTCTCATAAGCAAACATTTCATTCAATGTCAAGGCAAACTCTAATAGAGCTTGGCATTTGGAGTATAACAAGGGCAATAAATCAATGCTTTCTACACCACTTCTAAATAGCTTAATCAAACAAGTCTGTAAGCAACACTTGTTTATCAGTAATCCCATTCTATGACCTCATATTATGCACTTCTGTATATGAACATTCGATCCAGTTTTGTATAGAAATCTATACTAAATATCACTTAGAAGGAAGGAGGAAATACATTTCAAGTAAGTAGTAGAAAAAGCACTCCGTGCCAATTTTTAGCTAGGTTTTTTTTTAGTTGATTTCATATTTTATTTAGCCTTGGCTAGGGTAGAGAACAGTACAGAGATTGCATAGGTAAAAACAGAATCTGAGGTCAGGCACTGCAATCCCAGCACTTAGGGAGGTTGAGGTGAGAGGACTGCCTGGGCCCACGGGTTCGAGACCCGCCTGGGAAACTTGGCGAGACCTCATCTCTACAATAAATCAAAAAATTAGCCGGGCATGGTAGTGCACACCTGTAGTTCCAGCGACTTGGAAGGCTGAGGCGGAAGGATCGCCGGAGCCCAGCAGGTCAAAGCTGGGCTGGTGGCTGTAAGCATGCCACTGCACTCCAGCCTGGGCAGTGGAGTGAGACTCCAACTCAAAACAAAACAAAACAGAATCTGAATAAAATTAAGACAAATCGTTTACATAATATATTAAATCCCTAAAATGATCCATCCCTGACCGTAGGAAGCAAAAACATAATACTATTGTCAAAAACAATAGTAATAAGCAAGTAAGAATGCTCTCCAAATTCAAAGTCAGAAGATTTTTCTAGAATCAGACACAACTACTGCTATAAAACTAGACTTATCACCAATTACCTGTAGAGGAGTACTGTTAGAATTCAATTTTGGGCCCAACTCAGTCAGCTCGACGTGGAACATATAGAATATGAAGCCGTACAGGGCTGGCCCCAGGCCATTGCATAGTCCTCTTATTCCAGTTATGATCCCCTGGGCAACTCCTAAGTTGGAATACAGAGAAGGGAGCCAGTCTTCTTAGAAAAGCATCTCAAGATTTGGAACTGAACAGTACTTTCTTACAACCATGATACTGATTCCCCAAGAATGTGCAAAAGGCATGCTAATGAAAGTACATAGAAGTCTTCAGCCATTATATTTTCATTCATTGCACTAACTTTTTTTTTGTTTTACTATGTCATTTAACGTCCCCATTCTCTGTCCTAAGACCTATAAGGAAACGAAATGACAATGATATTTCAAAATTGTTTTGGGGTTATAATTCCCCTCATCAGCTGGATCTGTTGAAAACAGGGAATAATAAAATGCAAAACCTTAATATTCCCCCATTTCAGGCAATTTCCAGTTTTCTATGGATTAAGATTTCCCTGCTTTGCTCACTTAATTGTACTAGAGTGCAGTGGCCACTCCCGGCCACTGCAGCCTCAACCCCACTGGGCTCCGGCGATCCTTCCGCCTCAGCCTTCCGAGTAGCTGGAATTACAGGCATGTGCTACCACGCCCAGCTAATTTTTTGATTTATTGTAGAGATGAGATCTCGCCTGCCCAGGCAGGTCTCGAACCCGCAGGCTCAGGCAATCCACTCACCTCAGCCTCCCAAAGGCACAGATTTACAGGCTGAGCTTAATTGTACTTTTATAACAAAAACCTCTGGCAGCTGTGGCCGCATGACTACAGAGCAATCGTCCCCCCTCCCCGCCCAGGAAGACTGCCCTCATGGCTGTATTCCGGGCCCACTTCCCCGTAGACCTCCACTGAAAAATTTCCGAAGTACCAATTTCAAGATATCTCTGCTTTCTAACATGCCAGATAAAAAATTAGCTTGAGTCATATCAAATAAATGTTTCTGTATATCAAAAATGATAAGATAAGGGCTGGGAGCAGTAGCTCTCATGCCTGTAATCCTAGCAATTTCGGAGGCCGAAGCAGATGGATTACTTGAGCCCAGGAGCTTGAAACCAGCCTGGACAACATAGCAAAAATTCATCTCTAAAAAAAAAAAAAAAAATCAAAAAATTAGCCAGGCATGGTTGCACACACTTGTAGCCCTGGCTATTCGAGTTACTGAGGTGAAAGGATCACCAGAGCCCAGGAGGAAGAGGGTGCCATGAGCTGTGATCACTGTGATCATGTACCACTGTACTCCAGCCTGGGCAACAGAGTGAGAGACCCTGACTCAAAAAGAAGAAAAAAAAGGTAAGAAACAACTCAGCCTAAGACAGTATGTTCCAAAAGCTTTAAACGTCAACGTTTAGAAATACCTGTACTGAAACGCATAAGCACAAGCACAGCCAAAGGAAACTCACGCCCCAAACGACAGGACAGTGACAGTCCTCCACGGATGGTTCACATCTTCCCAGACACAACACCTCCCTGAGGACATACAGCCAGCTGAGTTGCTGTAGTCAGAGGTGACACAGTGAATTTGTGGTCTTCATGTGACTATATTTTAAAATGGATAGAATAAGTAGGCTGATATGGAAAGATAGGTGCAATGAAGAAACCATCTTTTCCAATCTAGCTTTTTACTGAAAAACTTTAAAAGGCTCTTAAGCATTACAAAGTTTTTCTCTTTAAAATTCTCTACTTCCAGATCAAAGTAAGGTGAGCCATTAGGAGATTGAGGAAAAAAGTATTAAGTTTAGTAAGTAGGAACTGTCTGAAAGAGAAGCAGAGGCACAGGAAGGATAAGAATCTAGATGGGGAAGGCTATTCTCCACATAGCAGTCTTATTTTTAGTTTCCTCTCTCTGTCACCAATTATCAACAACCACACAGATTTACCTTTTCTTTATACTCCAAAGAACCACTTAAGTTCATGGACTTTGAGTTATTTTAAATGAAATTTTAATGAATAAAGTGATTAAATAAACAACTCACAGCTAAAGGGTCTTTTCTTATTTGATAGACATCTGTTAAAAATGTTATTATAGTCAGGTTAATTTCAACAGTAATGGACAAAAGAGGTGTCAAAACTGAAACATGAAAATGGGTATTTCCATTTCTAATTCTTAGTAATTTGAACTAAGTCCAGGTTTTTAAAATATAAGATAAAAGCGAGGAGGAAAACAGAATTTTCCTATTTGGCAAAGCTAATAGGTATGACCTTGCGAAGGGATCACATAGCTTTTGGCGTCTGCTATTGACGTGGTGGTAAGGGCTGAGCTTCTTATGCTTCTAGCAGGGAGGTGTTAGCTGAAGGGGGGCAACAGTGAGGGGCAGCGGCCTAACCTTGCTGATCTGACTCAGCATTCCGAGAGACAAGGGCACTGATGGCCGGAAACGTGATGCTGGACATGGCTGCCACAGTCCCTGCTGCCCACATCATCCTGCAACGAAAGGACAGACTTCGGTGAGCAGCAAGCCAGTCTCAGGGAGCTCATTATTCAGAATGCAATCAGGAACCCAAAGTACAAATGCCTTGTCTACTCCTCTTAAGTTTTATTTTTTTCCCTCTTTAAAAACGCGTTTTTTGCCAGGCACAGTGGCTCAAGTCTGTAATCCCAGCACCCTGGGAGGCGGAGGCAAGAGGATTGGCTGACCTCAGGATTCAAGACCAGCTTGAGCAACATGGCGAGACCTTGTCTCTACAATAAATAAAAAAATTAGCCAGGCATGGTGGCACTTGCCTGTGATTCCAGCTACTTGGAAGGCTGAGGTGGATCAATCGCCTGAGCCCCGTAGGTAGAGGCTGTGGTGGCCATGAGTGTGCCACTGCACTCCAGCCTAGGTAACAGAGTGAGACTCTGACTCAAAAGAATAAAAAATAAAAATAAATAAAAATGCATTTTTTTAGAACTACAAAATTACACATCATGCCATTAAAACTAATCACTTGATAGGCTGGGATAGGAATAGAAGGTCCAGGAAATTTTGTTTCTTCATTTTACTTCTTCCAAAATATTTTCTTCTCTCATTTCCCTATAAGTTCAATGAAGTTCATAAGGGGTATTCTTTTGTTTCTATAATATAATACCACATTTCCCCCACCAACTTTTCACTTTTTCTTTGTACTTCTCAAAGGTTCGCTTTCACACTGCCCTTAAGCTATACTGTTTGCTATCCTTCAACAGAGCACAGTGTGCCACAAACTGAAAAGACAGAGCCTGCTTCCTTTAGACCTTTGTCCTTTTCTCAATAAAAGAGGCTTTAGTTGTGTATCAGTACGAAGTGTGAGTGTGAGTAAAGTGAGGCCCCAACTGGGTTTGCAACCCGCTTGGCCAGGCTTCCTTAGAGAGAGTCCTTACTGAAAAAGAAAAACTTTGTTAACACTGATCAAGTTCAACTGAATCAGCTACTGAATCAGCTACTAAACCAAAGGACGAAAATCAAAAAGAAGAAGAATCAACCAAGTTAATCTGGTAAAAAAGTTACAGAGAAAGAAAGAGCAAGTAGTTCAAATGAAATTCAGAATGGGCACATGTATTCATTCCCCAATCTAAACACTAGCCAGTAAAGTACTTCTTAAGTTATGTCTTAAGTTCTTAAGTTTCTCTAAGTTATGTCTTCCATTTATGTGTCCAAAGTGAGGGCCAGCTCTAAGGTCTAAAATGGAGAAAGCACTCACATTTAGTGACCAGGCACAGGGGAAACTTGTCACATAACAAAACAGTACTAAGGACTCTTTCAATTGCTTAATATTCCATAGGGCTCATTTTGACATGCCTTCCTGTTTATGGGAATCTAATATGCTAGCAGTAATAACTGCTGCAGGATACACATGGTTTTGGAAGAAATCTTAGTGTTCATCTAATTCTAATGCTTTATTTGTAAAGATTATATTATTGTCCTAAGGTCGCTCCGTTAATGATATCAGTGAAGCTTGCCATAATCAGTCATTTTTCCTCATCTTATTTTGTTTTTGACTATATTTGATGTCCCTAAAAATTTACAAATGTGTTTAAAAAGCAGACATAAAACTTTATTTGGGGACTGGGGAAAAGTGACACACATTCAATCAAGCAGCAATTCAGTGAAAGCCCACTGACATGAAGGCAATCTTCACAAATAATCTTGAGTTATCTAGCTCCATATTTCCCCAAATTAAAGCCTGATGGTTTTTGCAATGTTGAGTACACCAAACCACTAAACCAACCCTTGCCTCTTCCTCCTCACACTGAACAGCTCAAGTTCCCGTAAGATGCATCTGTCTGGTAGTTCATGAGAATTTAAGGGTGAGGCTTACCAGGCCTGAGATCCAAAACCATACCAGGCTAACTGGAGCATCTGGAAGCCCAAGCCAAGGAGGACAGTATTCTTATTCCCTAATGATCTCATCAAGATGCTAAGAAAGACCGTCTGCAAAGTAAAGGAGACAACCCTGAGAAGTCATGCCAACACACAGAATTTCACTCTTGTGAGTGAAGCCCACTCCTGATGACCAGGGACCTGTAAGGGCACACTGCCTAACCTGCAACCTTAAAGTCTGGGAAATACTGATATATCTCCACGGGGTGCAGTCTCAAGGGCTCCCAGCCTGGCCTGGGGCCGGGGGTCTTCAGCCTTCTTCCTGAGAAGCCAGCCTGTCTGGTATTCTGCTGATACTTCCCGAAAGGTTATCACAGCCTTTCACCAGCTATCATAATTGAAAGGGACATGTCTCAGTCTCTGCAGAAATGCTAATCACTTAACCATCTGTGAATAGCAAATTCCTGCTGAACATTTACAGAATATGTGGGATGCCGCTGGAGGTTGATAGTTTTACAAATTGGAACTGATATAATTTCATTTAGACAAATACATACTCCGAATATAACCAACTATGATAGTCTGAAAAGGAACTGGATAAAAAAGACAACTAACCTACCTACTAACTAGAGTTAGTGTGAAAAACAAATCAAAATCACGATCAATTTCAAAGTTTAACATAATTTAAATGTGCTAACACAGTTTAACAAAAACAAAAACAAAAAAGGCCTTTGCCTTGATGTATTCCCATGAGCCTTGTAAATTCTAGCATTTGGGTGAAGCAGTTTCTCACCTTCTCACTTCTAGAGAGACAGAAGCATGCTCGCTTGGCCTAGGAGCCACTTCAGGGAAACAGCCTGGAGACAGTCCCATGTGATACAGTGAGTGTGCCTAAGCACAACAGTGAATTAATTTAAGAGACATATGCCCCGCTTTCTGTGGCGTTACATTTATAAACAATTAATGCTCTTTATTCCTTGCATATATTCAAAAGATCTGATTCATGTTTCTTCAGTCCTGGAGACAGCAGGGGGTTGAAGTGTTACTGATTACCAGTTCTGCTTACTTTTCAACATTAAAGTAACACTGAAACATTCTCCTGGCTAATTTTGCAACTTCTAGAGATAGATTAAAATTATTTGCAATTTTGGTTGCTGTAAAAGCAAATAAAAGATTTGACCCAGCAGAGATTATAACAAATATTCTAAAAAGTATTGAAAGTTGTATTAAATTCCTCCTAAACCATAATCCAACATTCTATCTAAGAAGGAATGGCTCTGTGGACATCAGTTTCCTGGACTTAATATTATGCTATAGTTGTACAAGATGTTACCATGACAAGGGGTGAGGGACTGAGGTACCAGTTCAGAGACTATCTCCCTGTACTTTTATTTGTGGCTTCCTGTGAATACTATGGTTATGAGAATAAAAATGTTTGTTTTTGTAAAAAAAAGTATAGGTAAAATGACACTCACCTGAGCCACAATTGACAGAATTCCTACCATAGCTATGAATGCTGCAATTTTAACAGATCCAAAGCCTATGACCTATGAAAACAGAAAGAAAACACTTTAGCAATATAGATGTTATAAAATTAGTTAATAATAAATATTATGTTCCATTAAAACAACAGGATAAAACAGTTGAGGAAAGTTCATAAAACCAGTGGCAAATTAAGGCAGTGCTGAAACCTGAACCTATTTAACCAGTAATTAACACCTAAATCTGATATAAGAAATCATTATAAGCAGGCACAACTTACATTGTGAATATTTTTAGATAATATTTTCTATTTTATGTCTCCCTATTGTTGTATATTCCCTTTTCATCCCCAAACCACAAACTGACAAATACAGTGATATCAAGTAATAGAAAGAATATGAAAGAAAATGATCGACTTTTGAAGCTGCCAATACAGTACTGCTCATGAGCAAAGCCAGTGACTCTCAACTCTGGCTGCACATTAAAAGCATGTGGGCAAAAGAGAAAGGAAAAGGAGGAGACAGAAGGAAGGAAAGCAAGGGGAGGGGAGAGGAGCAATGAGATGCTGCAACCCACTGAAGCAGAATTAAATAAGACTCTCTAGGGGCATGATCCAGGCACAGACATGTTTTAAAAAGCTCCCATGAGGAGGCTGATGAACAGCCAAAGTAACCCAGCACTGATTTCTAAGCCTCTGACTTAACCAGCATCACTGGAATGCCTGAAGCTTTGAAGTTTTAAAAGTCAAGTCTTTAAAAATTTAAATCATTTTGCCTTCTATCGAAATTCTATAAAATTCAGAAAAAATTATGTCATACACTCTTCTCATTTCACAAATGAGTGACTTGCTTCCAGGCATTACTAGGTAATGAAAAAGCTACAGTCAGAACCTCTGGCTCCCAATCCAGTGCTGCTGACATTAACGATATTTCATCACTAACCAAGTGCAATTTTAAAAACTGGAACCTGAATAAGTAGTTTTATTTAGGGACTATTTCACAGCTATATTTATAAACCTATAAATGTAAGTATATATAATACACATATACAATATATATTCGACCATTTTTATTAAAACCATACAATTCACCCATTATAAGAGTCAAGTCAATGGTTTCAGTATACCCAGAGTTGGGCAACCACTATCACCACCATCAACTTTAGATTTTCATCACTCCTCACAGAAACATGGCACCCATTAGGAGTTCCACTTCCCCAGCCAACCTGTTTCCTAACCACTAGTCTGTTTGCTACCTATTGATTTGCCTATTCTGGGCATTTCATATAAGTGAATGCATACAACAGGCAGTTTTTGTGACTGACTTCTTTCACTGAGCGTAATGTTTTCAAGGATCACCCATGTTGTAGCATATATCATTACTTCATTGCTTTTTACTGCTGAACAATAAAATAACATTCTATTGTATGGATATAGCATATTTGTTAATCCATTCATTAGCTGATAGACGTCTGGGTTGCTTCTCCTTTTTGGCCACTGTGAATCATGATTTGTGTACAAGTTTCTGTGTTTGATGTATTTGCATTTCTCATAGGTATGTACCTAGGAATAGATATGCTGAGTCACATGGCAACTATGTCGGACATTTTGAGGCCCTACCAGACTCTTTCACAGTGGCTGCACCATTCTACATTCCCACCAGCACGTATGAGGGTTCCCATTTCTCCATATTCTTGTCTTTTTGAAAAAAAACAAAACCAAAAAAAAACAGGGTCTTGCTCTGTCACCCAGGCTGGAGTGCAATAGTTCACTGTAGCCTCAAACATCTGGGCTCAAAAGATCCCTTTGCCTCAGCATCCCAAAGTGCTGGGATTTATAGCTGGGAGCCACCACACCAAACCCCTGGTCTTTTTGATTATAGTCATTCCAGTGTGTGTGAAGTGGTATCTCAGTTTGATTTGCATTTCCTTGATGGCTAATAATGTTGTTCATCTTTTCATGTGCTTATTGATAAGCCTTTTGTATATCTTCCTTGAAAAAATAATCTATTCAAAATCCTTTGCCTACTGTTTCTATTGGGTTGTCTTTTATTGTTATCATAAGATATTACTGAGTCTTTTATTTTAAGAGTTCTATGTATATTCTGGATACATTATCAATTCTATTATTTTCAAATATCAAATTCAATTTTAATTAAAATGTGTGTTCACTGCTCTTAAAAGTGAGCACAAATATAAATATGGAATGACTCTGATTTGTTGTAATTGGTGGTGATGGTGATATATGTGTACATGTAGGGAAAAAAGCTGGAAGAATAAAGTAGTCATAGTTTATTATCTGTGTAGAGATGTGATTGTTTTTCTTCCTTGGACTGTCTCATTTTCCTACATTATCTTCTATATTAAATGCATATGTAATTTAATGCATAAATTCTAGATTCATGTATAATTCTCTACATTAAACACATATTATCTCACCACTATTCAAATTTCCAGCACCCACCCAGAAAAAATGAGCAAAACAGAAGTAGAAATTCTTTAAAAAGTTTTATTTTTATGCCACCATATAAAATATTGTCTCATACTCACAGGAAAACTATAAGAATGGAGAAGTTAACAAATTTCATTTTTAAATATCTCTTAAAAAGGAGGGACTGGCCAGGTGCGGTGGCTCAAGCTTATGATCCCAGCACTTCGGGAGGCCAAGGTGAGAGAATTGCCTGAGCCCACAGGCTCAAGACCAGCCTGGGCAACATGGTGAGACCTCATCTCTACAATAAATAAAAAAAATTAGCTGGGCATGGTAGTGCATGCCTGTAGTTTCGGCTACTTGGAAGGCTGAGGTGGAAGGATTGCCATCGCCCAGCAGGTCAAGGCTGCAGTGACCGGGAGCATGCCACTGCACTCTAGCCTGGGCGACAGTGTAAGACTTCAACTCAAAAAAAAAAAAAAAAAGGAGGGAATTTATCTAGAGAGGAGGCCTGCTCTGTCAAAGTGGAGTAATTCCTTAGGAAAAGGCCTCCCTTCCTTTGATGTCAGTAAAAGACCAGGGTAGTATACAATGGAAAGGCAGCTTAGGTCTGAGCAACCCCAGAGACCTGAAGAACAACTATAAATGGGAAGTTCTGAGATTTAATTCGCCATAAGTCAATTACCTATTTGGGGGGACAAAACAGGGTATACATTTTTAAACGGAAAAAATATCAAAGGAGTAGGAAGATTGTGATTATTGCTTGTGAGCCACCTTGAAAAGTCTACAGCAGCAGTTGAGCTGTGGCCTACTGAAGATGGCTGCTCAACATGCAGTCTTCAATCATACCATATCAGGGCATGTCTGAAATAAGCTTCACCTCTCTGTGAAATTTAACAGATGTTATCGAAAATTTAAAACATTATAATACATGGGTGCAATAGCAACTTTATTCATAATTGCCAAAACCTGGAAGCAAGCAAGGTGGCCCACAGTGGGTGGATGAGTAAATAAACTATGGCACATCCAAACAACTGCTGGGGAAAAAAAACAAACTATTAAGTCACAAAAGACATGAAGGAACCTCAAATGCATATTGGTAAGTGAAAGAAGCCAATCTAAAAAGGCTACTTACTGCATGGAAAAGGCAAACTATGGAAATAGCAAAGTGATCGGTGGTTGCCAGGGGCCAGGGGTGGAGGGAGGGATGAATAGGTGGAGCACAAGGGATTTAAAGGACAATGAAAACAAACTGCATGACACCGTAACTAACGATGGATACATATCATCATGTCATGTCATTGCTATCTGTCCCAACTGCAGAACGTACAACACCAAGTGTGAACCTAATGTCACCTGCAGACGGTGTGATAACAACCTGTTGATGTAGGTTTATCAGTTGCTAACAATGTACTGCCCTGGTAGGGATGATGACAGTGGAGGAAGTTATGCAACCATGGAGGCAGACGGCAATAAGAAATCTCTGCGCCTCACTTTCAGTTTTAGTGTGAACCTAAAAGTGCTCTAAAAATAGTATTTAGAAAACACAAAAAGATTATAATAAATTATGTATCTGCTAATTCTCACTGAATACTCAAGAAAAAACTGTTCACAGTATCTTACTATATTTGAAATAGTCACCGCATTAAAGATGTCCTGTTTATAAAAGCAAATTCACATATTTTTTCCTCTAGAGTGGTTTTCCCAAAATATCTTTAGACAGAGCTCAATCTTAGATTTTCCTTGTGTTCAGAAGTTACTAGGCACTCATTACTCACCTGCCTGAGATAGAGAAAAAAACTTGAATACTGTCCAGCTTCAGGAAGGTATGAGAGAAATACAGTGATGCAGATTAATAAGACGGTAGAATCTTTTCCAACTTTCTTCAATGACTGAGAATACACAGAAAGAAAATATATAAAAAGCCAATAAACACTAACAGCACCAATGTTTTAGGATATTAATTTTACTATTTTGATCATTAAGAGGGATAAGAGAAGTCAAGTAAAAAGAGGTAAGTCTTAATATAAAATCCATCACCATCTCTCTGTGGAAAATACAAGTCCTAATTTCGGAGGCATGTATTTTAAATATTATATATTTTATGTATATATATTTGCTCATCTTTGTGAACAACACTGGTTCACATCTCTAAACGGTTCCTGAACTTTCTGTGAACAGACCCTGAAAATACATTCCTGTAGAACCTTTTAAGAAAATTGCTGCTTTCTCTTGATTCATAACATAACTTCTGTAAAGCCATATTCAGTACAGGGTTTTCATTACATATAAATTCACTCTATTCTTCAAAATAGTAACATTCAATTGCCTACAAACATGGTAGACAAATAAGTACGCTGCAGCCATGGGGTCAAAACTGTAAGAACTTCTTGAATGTTACAGCTTTGCTGAAGAATCCTTCTTAAATACATAGCACTGCTGAATAGAATGAAAAGGAGGGAAAAGTGCTGCAGACTTCTAGGTCATCATACCATAATATCTTTTATATAATCGAAACAAAAGTCTTGCATGTCTATGGGGACCTTCCTAAAGACCAGACACTAGATGAGTTACTTCACACACATCAACTGTCATCCTCACAACTGCCTCGAGAAGTGAGCCACAGTAGTTCCACTTCCCAGTGGAGAACTTGATCACTACAAGACAAGAAGGTAGGTGGGAACCCTAAGAGGTTGGCTCCCAGATCCACTCCTGGCTTCCTTCTCTAAGTATTGCTTTTGCTGTCTGACCCTGTAATGTAAGCAGAGTAGGCAGGGTCTCCAGGTCATACCCCGAGGGGGGGGCATTCTAAAAATGAAAAGAATTTCTGTTAGTTTTCTGACTATATGTATTTTTCCTAAAAGATAAACTTGGGGAACAGAATGCAAAAATCACAACTTTGGTTCATTTTTGTCTGTATATATTTTTTCCAAGAACAATTTCAAAACAGAGAAGGTAGAGGGAAGGTGAAGGATATTTTTTCTATTTGTTAGTGTGACACACCACCTTCCCATGCCAAAAAGAAAAGATTATAGAAAATCTATTCATCTGCAAAATACAAGTTAAAAGTTTCTGGTCAAAATAACTCCTTTAGCCAGACCAAAGTATTTTATCCTTTTTAAGTTAAAATGAATGAAAATGGCCACCCTAAGTGAAGATTTTCATTTATTTTGTTTAAAAAGGATGAAAACAACCATACAAAAAGAAACCTCCTTCCTACCAGGAGTTATGTGGACATTTTTTCTCTCTTCCCTTATGACAAGCTTGACTCAACTATGAATTAGAAACACATAGAATTAGATGTATTTTTATGTGCACAGACAACCTTAATCCCTTACTTGCAATTAAGTTTTAACTATTTTTGCTGGAGAAAGGAGATTAACAACTGCTGGGATTCTTGAGGCTGCACATCCTATATTCTTTTATGGGTTAGAAAGACATTTAGAAAAGTAAGTATTTTCATGTTTTTATTTACCGCAAAAGGATCTGCTTGTTTCCAAGAAATCTGAGCTCCCCAGGAAACTGGTCTCATTTTCTCAGGTAGAGATTCTGGAACAGCAATTAAGATGAAGCATATGTCCAGCAGAGCCACCACTGTGGCCACCAGCACAACAAGGCTATCTCCGTAATTGGCAGAAAGGTATGCTCCAATGGCCGGGCTGCTGACCAGACTAGCCGCGAAGGTGGCTGAGACCTGCAAGAAAGCAGACGTTCATCCAGGGCCCTACCTGCTGCAGGTGCACACCTGTGGGGAAGCATACACGCATCCAGGGCTCCACAGGTGCACACCTGCAGCCATCTTTCTCTGGCTTTAAGCAAGACAAAAGGAATGTGTTGAATACAAATTCTAAGAATCAAAGTCACTGCGTTTTAAGAATTTGTTCATAAACTTTAACTAATGGAACTACCCTGCAGAGCTACAAGAGTAAAAAATATTATTATTAGAAACAAAAATTGTAAAAAAAAAAAAAATCCCCACAGTAAGACATTCACTCTTTGATCTTTGATTAGAGAATGGGGATGTGAGAAAGGTACAGAAAAAAAATCCCTGAGGGGCTGATAAAATCTACAAATTACTCAAGGACTGTTCTTGATTTCATCTTTCAAAAGCAATGCACTGTTTTCAGCATTTTCTTGTTTGGTGGCCATTTCAACAGCACTGAAGAGGGGAAAAAAAACGCTGATATTCTCAGAAAAAGAAAAAAAAAACTATAGCAAAAAAAAAAAAGAATTTCATGAGGTGGTGGTTGAAGCTTTTGGACAAAAGGGCTGTGGATTCTGTCACTACCTGACTGTTGTCCAGTACAGAGACTCTAGAGGCAGCTGAGCACATCTGCAACCTGAGGTCACAGTAAGCCTCTTTTTTCACTGTGTTCCAAGCATGTGAAATGCTCACTTTATTTTAGAATGCAATCTTGATGTTCAGAAGCTTAATGGGCCAATTCCAAATTACAACCAGACTGAGTATCAAAAGCATATCTGTAAGTTAAATATTTAAACTTCTTTTTTTTTTTGAGTTGGAGTCTCACTCTGTCACCCAGACTGGAGTGCAGTGGCCGCTCCCGGCCACCGCAGCCTCGACCTGCTGGGCTCAGGCGATCCTTCTGCCTCAGCCTTCCGAGTAGCTGGATTACAGGCATGTGCTACCACGCCCAGCTGATTTTTTGATTTATTGTACAGATGAGGTCTCGCTGCCCAGGCAGGTCTCAAACCCGCAGGCTCAGGCAATCCACTCACCTCAGCCTCCTAAAGGCGCGGGATTACAGGCTGGGCCACCGAGCCTGGCTACTATTTAAACTTCTAATGGGTTTTATTAGAAACCACAAAAATCATCACCTGTCATGATTGGTGGTAAGCCAATGATATTCTTTTTTCATCTATCATCCCCCAAATGAATATAAAAATACAGTATATGTGAAATTAATATTATACTAAAAATACAATAAAAGCCCCAAAATCAAACCAAACCATTTCTGGAGGGGAAAAAAATGCAAAGAATTCCAACTTGAGGAACAGGATTCCTTCATTCAATATTCACTGAATATTTACTATTGAGTACCTACTATGTACCAGATGAAGATGAAAAAGCTCTAGCCCCAAGCTTTCCCACCTTATATGAGAAGATAAAGGCAACCACACAATTACATTGTAAACCACAGTGGCATGCAGAAGCTATGGGGGTGCTCCTGACCTCTCCTCACGTGCAATGGGAGCCTTGCTGCAGCATCCCCAGGGTTAAGGGGTCTATGTCCCCATGAAACTCTGTGTAAAATATGTCCTTCTTAAAACCTGAAGTAGCCTACTTGCTTAGCCTGTGTTTTTATCTAAGCCCCGCTTTCACTTAACACTCAGTATGACTCTGGGGAATAAATCTACAGGATGATTTCACTACAACAAACTCCTGCTGCAGCCCTGAAACGATGACCACTTTCTTGGTTTACTGACGTTTCAGTAAGGAAGGTGCATATATTTCATATATTGTTCTTTAATGGGTCTCAAAATGCTCCTTAACAGTTGACTGACACACCCTATAATTAGTTTGCAATATATTTTCCCGTATATGTAAGATAGGTAGGCTGCATGCTTTTATTATTATTTTTTTCTTTTAATTCTGTCTCCTTAACATCTGGGGTACAGGGGCAAAGGTCAAGGTCATCACTGGTCAAGATCCTGGGTCCATGGCAAATCCAGGGTGGTTTGAAATCCTGACTGACTTCCTACAACTTCTCCCTGAGTCCTCCTCCACTGCCCTCTGGAGATGCCGCATTTAGGGTGTGGCACGAGGGGGACATTCAAGGGGTGACAAGAAGAAGGAAGAATCTGAGAGAGCCGTAGTAGTCAGAGGGGAAGTGGGTTGAAAGAGAAGTTTCCAAACTACTGATGTCTAAAGTCAACAAAGTAAAAACTGTGTTTTATGTAACAGCAGCAACTTACTTACATGTCCATCACTGATTCATGAAATTATTCATTCAGCAAGTCGGCAATGAGCGACTAATTACTCTATTCCAGAAAGTGGGGTTTGAAAGAACAAGTAAGACCCAGGGAAAGGAAAGAAAAAACCTGGGTTTCTGGCACTTGAGCCCCTCCCAACCTATTCCGCACAACCCAGCCAGATCGGCTTTCTTCTTCCACCTTCTTATTGTGAACACTTTCAAACACAGAGAAAGCGGGGAGAAGACTACAAAGCGCACCTCTCCGTCCCACAGAACACTGCCCACGAGCGCTTTGCCCCCTGCACCACCTGACGGTGACTGGCAGAGAACGGACACTCGGACCCAAATGCTGCAGCTGCCATCTTCTAACGGGCCTCTCTCCTCCTACCTGACCACAGCACCACTCTTGTGCCTGAGGAAATCAGAAAAACTGTCCGATATGGAATTAACAACAGTCTCCTGTAACTTTTGTTGTATTCGGCAACAATGTATTTGCTGAATAAACACAGTCATTCATCTACAGTACCACAACCACCAAGAGAGCAACAAGGAATCAACATCACACAGGTTTTAGCATCTCTCCAATTCAAATGAGATATACACAGACCTCTGCTCTAAGTACTTATAGACTAAGGTTCCTAAAGAGATCTGATACAAAAAACAAATCAAACTAGTTTTTTTTTAAACTTTGCAACTGACAACTAATATAATTCCTGCCAATCATCCAACCCTAAAACTAGAGAATAAATTACTAGCAATTTCTGTCATGCTATTTTTAAGTTTTTGTATGAGACCTTTTTTATTTCATTTGCTTTATTTTTCCTTTTATATAAATCGATATTTGCCACTTAGTTTAAATCTTACTTTCCAGTGAATTTTTAATAGACTGTTATTGTTCTGGTTAAAAAAATATTATCTTACCCATCCATAAGCAGTACTTCGCTCGTGTTCTTGAGTGACATCAGCTACATAGGCAAATATCACAGAGAACGTGACTGAGAAGACTCCAGACACAGAAATCATTGCAAAATACCACCTATAAAAAGATGATTTTAATTACCTGGGAGAGAGGCAGTGTATGTACACTTTTATAACCCAAACTAAACATACCATACAAAGATTACAAGCTTCGTAAGAAATAAGTAAATATACATGTCCATGTATGCATACATAAAGATAGAAAAGAAACTTAAAATCAAAATGGGGAGGAAGAAGTAGAAACATACTAATTTTGTCACTGCTCAAAAGAAGTCAGTACACACAGTCTAAAAAATAAAAGAACAGAAGAGACAAAAAATGAAAGAATAAGGGGGTTAAGTAAAAATTATAGTTTTGCTTGTTTGTTTGATTTTTGTAGAGATGGGGGTCTCACTACATTGCCCAGCCTGGTCTTGAATTCCTGGCCTCAAGCAATCTTTCCGCTTTAACCTCCCAAAGCACCCAAATCACAGGCATAAGCAACTGCACTTGGCCCAAAAGTTATAGCTTTAAAGGTAGTCAACAGAATAAAAACTTTTCAAATATCCTAACTCTAAGTAAGAAAAAAATATAGAATAAATGACTTTAAAAGATCTATACAAGAGTAGAAATCATTAAAAAATATTAATGTAATTGAGGCCAAAAATTTCTGTCATGCATAGATGCTTAAAAATACCTAGTTAAGGCCGGGCTTGGTGGCTCAGCCTGTAATCCCATGCCTTTGGGAGGCTGAGGTGAGTGG